TCAGAGGCGCCAATGCTGTGGGATACACCAGCTACCCTGATAATGTGGTGTTCAAGTTTTGCGAGAAGGCACAACAGAATGGCATGGATATCTTCAGAGTGTTTGACTCTCTAAATTATCTCCCTAACTTACAGGTAATGCAGAGTCTCGTGAAATTTTAAGCGCGCTTATCTTCAACGTAAACGCTCAAGAACCGATGTGAGCGCGCACTGAGAACGGAAAAGAGTTGGCGGCTTAACAAGAGCCAGAGGTTTCACTATAGATCACAAAATTAAGCAAAACGACCAAGTATGTTTAGTTAATTTTTGGGACAACCACTAAATGGCTAATTGTCGCTTGAAATAATAACCTCCCACTTGAACATGTAACAGCTGAGGTTATTATTCTTCTCAAATTTTGACTGCCTTTTCTTTTCGTTTCGTTAGCTGGGTATTGAAGCATCCGGCCAGGCCGGTGGAGTCGTGGAAGCTGCCATTTCTTACACCGGAGACGTGTCTAATCCATACAAGACTAAATACAACATTGAGTACTACATGAATCTTGCATCAGAACTGGTCAGAGCCGGCACCCATGTTCTCTGTATCAAGGTAAAGCAAGAGCCTACATCACGTTTTGTACATGACAGTACAAGGAAGCTTAAGCAATGACGACGGCGACCCCGAGGACATCACCTGCTAAAAATGAATCTATAGTTTACCCTCGAATTTCGCAATTGGCTAGATCTGTTCAGTACGCGTATTGGTCTCAGAACATACTTAAGCTAAATATGTAACGCCAGCGTTTAATTCCAAATAAAATACGAAAAATTAGCCGCCGCTGTTCGCGTTCTCCAAAAAATACGTAGCCATTTCACGTTGTTGTTTTGCAGAGGACGGCTACACAATATTCCGAAAAACTTAAAATGCACGTGCATGGCCATTGTTCTGCTCATTAAACCTTTTTTTCGGTGGCGTTCTCGTTGCCGTTGCCGTCGTGGTTTGCTAAGTTCTCTAGTTTTGAAAGCAAACGTGGTCACTTCTATTCTAAGCATACAACTCGTATTATAGTGACTGTGGGCTTTGCCGCGACAGGCAGAGTCTTTTGATAACCACACAATAAAGCCTAAATAAATGACAACTTAATTCCTTGAATGATGTGTTCTTTATTGCAGGACATGGCTGGTGTGTTGAAACCCAGTGCTGCTACGCTATTAATTGGTTCACTTCGGGCCCAGTTCCCCAAGATGCCTATTCACGTGCATACCCATGATACCGCTGGAGCAGGCGTAGCCT